TTCCTGCCACTGTTCTTTAGTTATTTCAGCCTCCAGCCCCCTAATCGTCCTTGCTGGTCTTCTATGGGCTCTTTATGGAGTCTCAACATCTTTTTAATACTTGGTGACTAAAACTGGTTGCAGTACTCCAAGTGGGGCCTTACCAAAGCATTATAAATTGGTACTAGCACTTCACTTGATCTTGACTGTATCCCTCTGTTAATAGAGCCTAAGATTGCATTTGCTTTTTTGGCCACTGCAACACTCTGCTAGCTCACATTTAAATGATTGTCCACTGGAATTCAGTGTTCCCTCTCATAGAGAGTGCCAGGCTCCACCTATTCTGTACCTGTGTATTTTGGGTTTTCTTGCTTAAGTAAAAAACTTTGGGTGTTTTTTCCTCCATCGAGTTTCATTTTGTTAAATAGGGCCCAGTGTCCAACTTTGTTGAGATTCTTTTGTATCTTGAGCCTATCTTGGTGTTGGATATTCCTGCCAGCATGGTGTCATATCAAATTTGATGGGTTTGGTAGATGGTTTAAAAAAAGAAAGTGTAGGTGAAAAATTGATTGTTTGAATTTTGGCCTGACTCGTTTCTCAGGATTAAACTTGTTGGTGGGGAGAAATGGAAAACGGCTAACTACTAGTTTCTGGTTATCAGCAGAAGCTTCTGTATATTTCCTTTTCCAGAAGTAGTGGAATTCCTTAAAAAGGAATTTTGGGTGGAGCATTTTTGTATGTTGATTATGAAATTCCCAGTTTTCTACATTGGTTTCGCCCAGATTTTGAGCCAGCCAGCATAAAAGTGATCCTCAAGATACAACTATTATAGGCCTTGCAATTACGGCTGCATGTTGCAATGACTATTAAGTGAGATGGCTTTCCTTAACTACCTGAATCTCCTGCTTTCCCTGAGGCAGCCATTAATCGAATGTGGGAGTTGCTAAGCAGAGTACTGGATACCTCAGGGCTGAGGAAAACTCTTGGAGGCCTAGAGCAGGGCCAGGCTTGCCTGCCACAGGCATCCCTGGGGCTCCCCCACCACCCTCCAAGACCCCCTATGTTCTGTTTCCCATCCCTGCCCCTTCCCTCAGCTCCCCAGGGTCCCCATAGGATTTTCCCCACTCCTGCTGGGTCCCTGCAGTCCTCAGGCCTGACTGCCACCCCAACAGGCCTCATACCCTCCTCCTCTTTACCTTTGGAAGATCTCTGATCCTCATGTTGGGGAGGGAGGGAAGGACACACATCCTTGGGCCTCATGACTGTGTCCTGGAACCAGCCACCATTTTCAGTGGGCCCTGGATTCGTCCCTGGGTCAGGTGGTGGACTTGGGGAAGCGGCTGCCATTTTGCCACACTGTCCAGACTGATAATGCAGAAGAGGGACAAACCTCTCTGTTTTGGTACCTTAACATGGGAAAAAAATGTACAATAGAAAATGTCTCATTTTTCAAAATGCGTTATGTTAGAATTATCAGAAACATTTGGTATGTAAAAAATGGGTATTGTAAGTGTTGCTATGAACATTAGGGCAAGGCAAGATGCTCAAGAGTTGCCTCAAACCCTGAGATGGCCAGCAATTAAGTTTAATAATAAATTAATTATTTTTTTTTAAAAAAATTTTTTATTAAACATTTTTTCTTATATACAACATTTCCATTCATTGCAATGCTTCCGTGACAGTATTCATACTTTTACATAAATCTTAACTATCTGTACATTTGTCTATATTCCTTAATCTATCTTTGTCCACTATAGCCTTTGCCTTATTATCCTATTGTCATCTTCTCTATTCATCTCTATATCTATTATTTAGCCAATCATACAATGCATTCCACGTCAAATAATAATCTGTTTCCTGTCTGTCTTTTATCTCCATGGTCAACTTATCCTTCTCGGCACACTCTAGCATCTTTTGTATCACATTTTCCTCTAGTGGCATACTATCTGTTTTCCAATTTTGTGCTTAAGTTATTCTTGCTGCCATTTATAGATGTAGCATTAGATATTCTGTTTTCTTATCATATTTTCCTATTATTATACCTCATAGAAAAGTCACTGGTCTCAGTTCAATTTGTTGTTTATATGTTTCTTCTATCCATTTTTTTGTCCTTATCCAGTATTTTCTTGCTACAGGGCATGTCCACCACGCATGGTAATATGTTCCTTGCTTTTGTTTGCATTTCCAACATTCAGATGATCTGTTTGGGAGCATTTTTGCTAATCTAGCAGGGGGTAGGTGCCATCTGTAGAACATTTTAATTATAAATTTTCTCTAAATGCTGCCGACACCGTCAATTTATAATTCTTTTCCTACATTTTTTCCCATTTCTCCAATGCTGTCGTGTAGCCAAATTTTTTTGCCCAAACTATCATCGCTTCTTTAACCCTCTCTTCCTCCATCTTATATTCCAACAAATAATTATATAATTTATTAATCAATTTCTCCTCAGGATCTTGTAGTTTATCTAATTGTGATACTTCTCTATGAATCCCATACCTTTCTACATCTTTCTTGAATCTTGTTTGTATTTGCATATATGTCCACCACTTTACCTCGATTCCTTGTTCTTTTAATTCTTGTTTTGTTTTTAATATCCCTTGCCCGTTTAAGATATCCTTATACCTTACTATCTTATCTAGAACTAACACATTTGGATATATTGATGCCTCCATGGTTGATAACCAGATCGGAATTTTGTCATGATTCCTTTTAATCTTTTCCCAAATTAATAGCCATACATTTCTTATTTGGTGTCTTTGGAAATAACTGTGCGTCTTATTTTTCCCATCCCATAAAAATGTGTGCCACTCTAATTTTAAGTCATGTCGTTCAATTGTCAGTATTCTTTTATTTTTCAACATGTTTAATTCCCAATCTGGCAGAGCAAAAACCCCTGTACTATTTCTGGACCACAATTTTTCTCACTGTCAGCGCTGCACATCAGCAGTGACTGTGGTTTTGAAGGTGCAGGAAAAGAAGTTGCACCAATTCGGGTTCTGCACATAGTTGCACATTTATGATGGAGGCAGCATCAAAAACTCAAAATCTCCATTTGTGACCTTCCCAGCTAGCTTATCACAAGCAAAATCATTGGGTATACAGGCAGGAAATGGCAAGTCACAGTCATATGGAATTGCCTTTAACAACCTACAGCGATTTTGATTGAGCTGTTTAATGATGCAAATATCAGTTCCAATTGTGGTAGGTTAAGTGAGGACTATTTCAATCGGGATGCCACCAGAGAACTTGTGAACACTGTTTTCTGCTCTTATTTGCAGCTGAGGACTCCATGGACAGAAAACATCTGTAAATAGCTCAGAAGGTTTGAATTTAAACATTCTGGGACATTATATCAGACTTGAAAGACATAGATTTTCAGATGAATACATGTGTAGGTGGGTATATCTGTTATTTCTCTCTGTAGGAATATGTCTGCAATTAAATAATCTATCCCCAGTACTTCAAGTTATAATTGATGATAGTCCTTTGTGTTGCTAAGAATTTGTGATTGACCCAATTAAACAACTGAATTTGATTGAATGCATATTTAAACATGGATCTCAATAGTCTTTCATGTGCCAAATGATTCATAAATAAAGTAAGTAAGTGATTAGTATTGGGGCATGTTTGCTTTTACATTGTAATATTTACTTTATTCTTTTTTCACATCAGCCCTAAACATTTTATAAACAACTAATGTTACACTTTTCTTTGAATCTTACAGACAATATGGCTATAAGAACACTCAGGACAACTGCAAATAACTAGCAACATTGAAAAGGAAAATGAATCAAGCCAGAAATCAAAATATTTTCCATTTCCTTCAGAAAACCACACAATTCTCTTCCTCCTCCTCCTCCGGAAGTTGTTAGACAAATGACAGAAAATTAAAAAAGATTTCAAGCCAGAATAAGCAGATTATGTAACAACTCAAGGATACATTACATGAAATGTCAAGGGCGATTATTTTTCATTCAGCATATCTGGAAGTCAGTTGGAGGAAAAGGTGAATAGTAAAGCTATGTGGAGCAGACAGTAATATAGGCCACTCCCTGTGAGGAAGAAAATGGCTTGAATGAAAGCACCACGAAACAAGGCATTGTCACAATTCCAGTCTAGTGATACATCAGTGGATTGACTCCAAGGAGAAACTGTATGAGTGTCTAGATAGTGGGAAAAGCTTCATTAGACATTTTCATATTATGAGACACCAGAGAACTCACAGAGAAGAGAAACCCTTTGAATGTCCTGATTATGGGAAAGTCACAATTCCAGTCTGGTGATATACTAGAAGACTCTAATAGGAGAGAAAAGCTTTGAATGTCCTGATTGTTGCAAAACTTTCAGTTGTAATTCCAACATGATGATACATCAGGGAAATCAAAAGGAGAAAACCCTTTCAATGTCCTGACTGTAGAGAAGTTCCAGTAATAATTGCAGCTTTGTAATACATCAGGGTTCACTGCAGGAGAAACCCTGTGAGTGTCGAGATTGTGGGAAAGGTTTCATTACAAATTTCCACCTCTTCAGACATGAGCATGCACGCAGGAGAGAAATCCTTTGAATGTCCTATCTATGTGGAAACTTTCACTCAGAATTCCAACATGATGATGCACCAGAGGACTCACACAGGAGAGAAACTCTTTGAATGTCCTATTTGTGGGAAAAGTTGTAGTCGCAATTCCCACCTGGTAATACATCAGAGGACACACACAGGAGAGAAACCCTTTGAATGTCCTATTTGTTGGAAACGTTTTGGTAATAATTCCAACCTGGTGAAACACCAGAGGATTCACACAAGACAGAAACATTTTGAATGTCCTATTTATGCAGAAACTTTCAATCAGAATTCCAACACGATGATATGCCAGAGGACTCATACAGGAGAGAAGCTCTTTGAATTTCTTATCTGTGGGAAAAGTTTTAGTGATAATTCCAGCATGGTGAAACACCAGAGGACTCACACAGGAGATAAATCCTTTGAATGTCCAATTTGTGGGAAAGGTTTTAGTCGCAATTCCTACCAGGTAATACATCAGAGGACTCACACAGGAGAGAAACCCTTTGAATGTCCTGTTTGTGGGAAATCTTTCATTACAAATTCCAGCCTCATGAGACACCAGAGGACTCACACAG